GCAGTTAATGTGTTTTCCCCCTCTGTGCATTTAAGTATGATAGCATTCTGTACCCAGTTATATAATAGAGCACCTGATAACATGTAAGAAGAGTTGAGGGAAAGATGACAAGTTTATCGTGCATATGTTTCCAATCCGTCAGAATTAGGCCCTTGTAATGGGGCTTGTCAGGCTATATTGAATCGAGGATTTACTTATAGCCTATCATATACGGTTTTATGGGTCTTCATCTGATGAAAAAAAATCAGATGAGCCAAAAATATGAAAAACCATAAGTGTATGGACTTTGGGAGATGTTGTACTTAGAGCTCCCCATGGCTGCTTCCTCTGTCAGGGTCTAAAACTGGGTAAGTTGTTAGACAGCAAAGATTGGCACTTGATCCATGCGATAAGTTTCTTGTAAAGACGTTTCTCCGGAAAGGTACAATCACTTAATCCAATTCCTGGGCCTTTGAAATGTATATAAAGTAGTGTTTCCTGTGAGATATCTGTTGGAGGGGAGGTTATCAAAACAGCCAACCTTGACTCCCTCGGGGAGGCACCCCTGCATTTTTAAGGTACACAGGTTTTGGTGAGATCTTTTTTATGGGTTATCTGTCCCCTGGTGTGAGGTATCTGTGAAGATTAGGCCTCTTTGCCAGCACAGTTAGCCAGGCAAATTGGCCAGTGTCGGAGTAAAGGGATGCTTTATTTACCCTGGAACGCTCCTCCGATAGTTACCAAGGAAAGCTGGCCAGATTGACATGGAAGTGGAGATCTCAGGAGAGATTGTTTCTGTTGTCCGATCAGAAGTTGGACAATTGACTTCTGACTGATTTTGTGACTGCTATTGATTTTGGTATGTATACAATGGTACTGATGTATCTATTCCCTCTCCTGCCCCCTCCGGGGAGGACTAGCGATTTAAATGGCCAACTTCACAGACTGGACATAGTGATCAGATGTAGTTCAGGTTCTTCAGTTTGTTTTAACATTGGCTTGTGTTTGCTAAATGAAAATCAGTTTTATAGAGAGAAAATATACTTGTATGTAGACAAAATGCTAAAGAAATGATGTTGCAATATTTTGTGCATGTAATATTTTCTGCACAAGAAAGAAATTGAGCAGGTGGATGAGGGAGTGGCACAATGTTTTAATATTCCAAGTTAATTACTAAAATCCTTTAAATCGTGTCTAGAGTTTGTACATGTAATTGATCTCAAATGGACATGAGATATTTAAGCTGAACAGGAAGGAGTAAATCAGGTATACCATATTGTCATTTGTCAGTGTTTGATCTCTGATATATCAGGACCGAAGATCTACAGACAATATGTAGACACTATGAGAACAATAGGGGAGTATTTAGCAGGTCTTTTAAAATGTGTAAATTAATGTTTTATTTGTGAACATTGGTGTTAAAATATGTATATTAGTGGAATACATGTACGCCGCGTATTTTGGGCATACTTGTGGCGAGGATGTATTATGTTCAGTATGTGAGGGCACGGCAATAATTTGTGTTATGTCAACAGTGCTTTCATTTTGCACATGTAACAGATTACGGAGGATGATTGCCAAACAACGTCTCGGAGGACTTTCAAATCCACTTTAATGTGCAGACTTTCCTTTTTGATTTGAATTTTCATTTTTTGATCAACATATCTTTATAGAAGTTGTAAACATGTTCAATTATACAATACTAAAATTCTTACTGAAAGCTTAAGCTTTTCAAAAATTCAGGATTTTTTTCATTGAAAACACTTGGACTGCTGCGATATTCTATGGCAGAGCTACACATGGGACCTGAGGTGTGATGGTAGAGGCAGGTTTATATTAGATCTGTACATACTTGGCAGTGTGTGTTAGGGTATAACTGTTGATGTGCTGGGGGTTTCGGACTGGTACACATTCAGATGTCTGTAGTGTCACAGTGACACTCAGGTCATTGATTTTGTCAATCATTCTTAATTGAATTAACTAAACGTAGGTACTCATTTTAGAACTTATTTACCCGTAATAAGTGTTTGTCTGATTGGCTGGCAGGGTCGGCACTGAGACATGGTAAGTTTGTGATTGATTGGTTGACTTGGTCAATGTTGAGACAATAAGTCTTTTTCTAATCGGTTTGCTGAATCATTGCTGAAATAAGTCGGTGGCTGATTGGTTGACTGAGTCCGTGCAGAAATAAGTCAGTGGCTGATCGGCTGACTGAGTCTGTGGAGAAATAAGTCAGTGTGATTGGCTGACTGAGTCTGTGCAAAAATAAGTCAGTGACTGATTGACTGAGTCTCTGCAGAAATAAGACAGTGCAGAAATAAGTCAGTGGCTGATTGGCTGAGTCTGTGCAGAAATAAGACAGTGCAGAAATGAGTCAGTGGCTGATTGGCTGACTAAGTCCGTGCACAAATAAGTCAGTGGCTAATTGGTTGGCTGGATCAGTGCACAAATAAGTCAGTAGCTGATATGGTTAGCCCAGAAACAAGAAGGTCTCCAGAAGATTGGTTCACTGGTAAGACTAGTAAGTCTGATAGAGTTATTGAGTCAGCTCTATGTAGATGATTGGCTGATAGGGTCTACAATGAGACAAGTAATAAAGCCAACTGGTTGGCAAAGTCTGGGTCAGCAAGCATTATCATAGTTGAAATGAACAAGAAAAAACTCTAAGAATATACGGGGGGAGAGGGGAGAGAAATGCATTAAGTGTGGTCAAGTTATTTTTAGTGAAGGGAGTATGTATCCTAGTAAACCCATGTTTGCTGTCAGTGAACCCCTACTTGTCTGGGAGATGGACAGTCCAATCAGATTTTACTTCATTATGTAAATGTTTTAACCATTGCTGTATGTAAATAGATTTGAACGGTTTGGAGTAAATCCAGTGAAAGCCCTGTTAACTGTGGCGGAGCTCTTACCACAGATCCCACCTTATCAAAACTAGTATTGATCACAAGAAACAGAAGCCGCTCACAAGTGATAGTGTTAAGCTAAGTCCAATTGTTTTATGGTCGCGCTGGGGGTTGGATAATTGGTTACTTCATTGTCCCTGTGTGAAGGCATGCGGGCCAAACACCACTGATCCTAGCTTTTAGACTGGGTCGGTCTTCTGCTGCCGTTGTTTGTTACCAAAACAGTTATCTCTGTGATATGTAAGTAATAAAGAGTGGGAATCACACAAGATCCTGACAGCTGTAGGGAATGAAGCTATAGTATTTGTTGGAGCAGTAGGAGACAGAGTTACACAGTTTTGGTGCTGCTTTAGACTGGTTTTGTGGTGTCACCGGCGACTTTCCTGACAGATTACCGTGGATTACCGACACATGCTTGTACCAACATTTCTGTGTGATTGCTTGTAGTATTACATTTGAACTTCGTGAAATATTTACTATTCAGTTTTATCTTACCTTTGGGGAATGTGCCTGCTGCAGGGATGTTATATATTGGTCTATACTGCCTTGGATGGATCTAGAATTGACTTGGATACACTGTTGTAACGCCTTAGGTGCATTTATATTAGGAACCCTGTGTTGCTGTGTGTGTAGTTTTGTTTGTGATCATTGGGTTGTGACTATGCATTTGGAGAATAAGAAATCAGTCGAGACAAAAATTGGCTGAACATGGCAATATATTTTGACAAAAAATATCATCTTGGCACTACATGGTTATATAGTCTGACAAAATGTGTCACTTTGATTGGCCGTAGATGGCAACATAAACGGACAAAAGATATATTTTAGGGTTACTTGGCAATAATGTTGGACAAAAGATTGGCTTTGCATTGCAATGTATCAGACAAAATAAATTGGCTCAGTGGCAATACAGTCAAGACAAAAGGTATCACATTGGTGCCACATGGTGATGTCGGACAAAAGGCATCACCTTGGCACCACGTGGTGATGTTTGACAAAAAGTATCACCTTGGCACCACATGGTGATGTCAGACAAAAGGCATCACCTTGGCACCACATGGTGATGTCAGATAAAAGACATCACCTTGGCACCACTGGGTGATGTCCGACAAAAGGCATCACATTGGCACCACATGGTGATGTTTGACAAAAAGCATCACCTTGGCACCACATGGTGATGTTTGACAAAAGGCATCACCTTGGCCCCACATGGTGATGTTTGACAAAAGGCATCACCTTGGCCCCACATGGTGATGTTTGACAAAAGGCATCACCTTGGCCCCACATGGTGATGTTTGACAAAAGGCATCACCTTGGCCCCACATGGTGATGTTTGACAAAAGGCATCACCTTGGCCCCACATGGTGATGTTTGACAAAAGGCATCACCTTGGCCCCACATGGTGATGTTTGACAAAAGGCATCACCTTGGCACCACATGGAGATGTCAGATAAAAGACATCACCTTGGCACCACATGGTGATGTCAGATAAAAGACATCACCTTGGCACCACATGGTGATGTCAGACAAAAGGAATCACCTTGGCACCACATGGTGATGTCAGACAAAAGGTATCACCTGGCACCACATGGTGATGTCAGATAAAAGACATCACCTTGGCACCACTAGGTGATGTCCGACAAAAGGCATCACATTGGCACCACATGGTGATGTCAGGCAAAAGGCATCACCTTGGCGCCACATGGTGATGTCAGATAAAAGACATCACCTTGGCACCACATGGTGATGTCAGACAAAAGGCATCACCTTGGTGCTACATGGTGATGTATGTTGTAGCCCAGACTGAGTGGGAGGGGAGACTTACATCACACCATCCTCATGCTGTGGCTAGCTTGTGGTTCCTACTTCTTGTGTCTGTGTCAGAATATTTATCTTGAAGGCATTCTTTCATCTCTAAAAACATCCTTCCATTGTGTTAACATATATATATATATCTACAAATGTGAGTTGTGAACCTGAGAACTCTAGCACTCTAGTAAATATACCTATTGGTCCGCTTGTTTAACCATGGTACCCAAATGTTGTGAAGAAGCTGTTTTTGTTAATGATTTTGCTAAGGTTTGACATTACATTGATGTTTTTATTTGTTGACAGTGAGGAGCGAGTGATAGAATACTACAGGAAGCTCGCCACCACCTCCAGGGGCTTGTCTATTGTCAAGTAAGTATTCCACCTAGTCCTAAGGTAATCTGTCACATGTGGTCAGATTGAATCAGCTGAACAGTGGAAACTGTTTCTATAATTTTGTAAGCGAAACTTGTACATGATCAAGGGCAAATTTACCCCCGTCCCCCGTACTGCAAGAGTACTTATTTTAGTAGACACAAAGCTTTGCATATTACCCAATTTTCAACACTATACTAGTACATTGATGAATTACCGCACTCACAATGTATGCAATAGAAAACTATATACAAAATCTTCAATTAGCTTAGTTTAAAGTGCGAAAAAGCACTAAAATTAAACAACCACTAGAATACGTAGGTTTACAGTATTTGAGATATGTTTCTTTGCTGAACCAACAGTTTGATCCACATAAACTGCTGCACCACCCTGAATGGCAAATCCTGGATCTGTACCTGATAATAGGCTGTCTATCATAAACAATAGTTGGTATTGTAGCTCAGTATCCAGCTTTCACATGGTTTGCACACGAGTGTATTATGGCTGCAGGTCATATCCAATACAGGATCAATTAAAACTGTTTCAATATCATAAAAATCCAATGACTATATGCATTTTCGTGCCAGTCAATAACCACAGTGTAGCTTTTGTTAGTGATGGGCCTCTGGCCAAATCCAGTAGACCAAACCACCAGTTGTTTGTCTTCCTTAGTGTTTGTTCTGGGTCGTTGTACTGGGTATGTTACACTGATCGGGTAGAGTGGGCCGACAGCTATTGTGGGAAACAAAGATAATAGGGATCAATTCTCATACTCACTGCTGTATCTAGATTTCAAAATGCCAGTTTACAAATCAATTAAAATGTAATGTATTATGTATAGGCCTCAGAAAGGAAGAAGGTTTGGGAAAACTTCAAGTTTTGATTAGTTGATTGCTTATATGCCGGTGAGAAAGATGTTAAATGTAAATTGATGACATTTTTGTGTACAAGTAGAGGTGTAATTTTTGATGTGTCACATAGTTTATCGTAATTACACTATTGTAGTGTAATGAGACCATTTAGTCATGGAGTTACAGATACATTTGAACTGTGGGCTTCTATAAGTAAGTTTGTTTCACATAGTTGTAGGTAAAACTGATCTGTGGGTAAAATAGGTATATTTGTCTATGTGTTTTAGAGTAAGGTATATATATGTACTATGTGTCGTATAATTTCTATGTTGTAGAGCTGTAGGTTAAATTTTGCAGTTATATAAGTATATTTGTCTAAGTGTTGTGGAGTTGGGTACACTTGCACTGTGAGTTATATTTATATATTTCTACATGTATATATTAATGTAAAGTGGTGGGTCATCTTCCTGTTAAGGTGTGTACGCAATCAACATCACTTCTTGTGATGTGGGCGAGAGAACTTCCTGTGCGAAGTAATACTGTACTCGATATACGTTTTGCAGGGGATGTGACTTATAATGCACTGTGATATGAGGAAAACTACTCTGTCTAAATAGTCAGAATGTATGGACTGACTTAAACATTTAGAAGATTAGAATTTTCTGCTGTAAGCGGTTTGACAGAAGGAAGACTGACAGTGGCCTTTAGTTACTGAATCTCTTGATAAAGAACAAAGCTGGTGGCAGGGTATAGATTTATGTTGCAGTAACACTGTTCTTTTTTCCTTTGACAGTTATATGAGCATTGTGGAAGCACTGCCAACATATGGAATACACTACTATGAAGTAAAGGTATGTAACCATAACCCTCCAAAACTACACACACACCCACCCCCCTCCCAGATAGTGGTGTATTTAGGTTTTGTTTGTAAGAACTTAAAGTAACAATTGAGAGAGCGGTGTTTCAGTACCAAGGAAGTAACAATTGAGAGAGTGGTGTTTCAGTACCAAGGAAGTAACAATTGAGAGAGCAGTGTTTCAGTACCAAGGAAGTAACAATTAAGAAAGCGATGTTTCAGTACCAAGGAAGTAACAATTGAGAGAGCGGTGTTTCAGTACCAAGGAAGGAACAATTGAGAGAGCGGTGTTTCAGTACCAGGGTCCATATTGACATTCGCAAAAGATGTCAATTTGTAAACAGGTCACCATGCGAATAAATTCAAAAATTATTCTCTCACAAAATTAATTGATTTATAGTATATAGGAAATGTACAAGGATGCAACATCATGGTTGTATGGGGCTGCATATAGCTAGGGTCGGTGTTGCCTTAATGAAACCTTCAGATTTCTTTATCCACTTCCAAAGGTTCTTTGTGTGTAATTAGGGTTTGTAGGGTGGGGAATTTGGGGAAGAAGTGTAAAACCAACTTATGTCCTCCCCAGAAATCCCTTCTTTCAGTTTCTTTGTATATATTTTATTGGGGGGG